CTTACCAAGTACTTCACTCTCCTGCCTATGAGCTTCCAAACCAAGAACTCCCACTCCAAGTCTGCTTTTAACGATGGTTGTAACAGCTCAGCACAGATACAGATACATTTTTGTCTTTTGAAGATTTTCATAGACTAAAGGGCATTTTATATAGTTGGATATTTTTAAATTCTGTTAAAAGAAAAAAACTATTGTCTGCAAATGCGTGTTTAAATTGTTTATTGCCTGCTAAGTGTGCAGTTGTTGCTTTATTTGTTGGATGTTATTTGTGATGCGTTAGGTATGTATTAAACCCTAAAAACTGACTGATGTTTTCATCTTTCTAAAAAGTTTTTTTGAAATTTGAGACACTGCGCTCTTTTTCTTCATTTACAGGAGCTAGACACCAACCTGGCCGCCTTAACAGCTGCCTTCGAAAGAGCTACCGCAGAGAAAATCCGCTGTCAAGAGGAAGTGAACAGAACTAACAAGACCATTGAGCTGGCCAACAGATTAGTGAAAGGTCTGGAGGTGAGGTCCTACAGGGCAGGCTAATGAAGCAACCTACAGAAAGTACTTCTTTGTTATACACTACTGATCTGGCAATAACAGAAGCACTTAGCTGGGAAACTGATGAGCTGAAAGGAATTATATCATTATCATGCATTTATTTTCATGGCAGAAACGTGTTTCTGACCTTACTACATTTCCAGCATCTCTTTGTCGAGCTTCAACAAGGATGTAAAATGGCTAGCCTGAATCAGAAGCAGTACATTTTGGAATATTAAGTATTATGTACCTGCTGCAAATGTGATCAATTAAAATGCAAGGAACGCTAATAACAATAAAACAATGTTAATGGAGCTTTTAAGGGCCACTATGTCCATGGATAGGTTATCACTAAGCCTGTTCATTAACCCTTAAAGCGTGAAAACCCATTCCATCAACTGTTTGTGAACTGCACAGGTCTGGTACAAAGAGGGTTAATTAATTATGACACCCATTAACTGTTTTAGGTTAAGTTTTATTCTTGGGCGATACATTGATCCTGTATTTTTCTTTACAGCTCAGAAAGGAATTATCAGACCTTTTCCCCTTCTATATCAATATCAATCCAGTCACTAAATCACTCAAACATTTAAAGATCACATTAGTTAATTTTCTCCTATGCTTGACTGCTGTTCAAATTCTTATTTCATTGTAATGGGATGTGATTGAATTTTAATTGTGAAGCCAAATAAAGGGATAGGTAAGAGGTAGATGACAAAGATTTGTCTGAATTTTAATTATTGTATTGGGTTTGGTGTAGATATTTCCCAGGGAGGCTGTTGTGGGGTAGAGTTAAAAAAAAAACTATATTGTGTGTAGATATGTTTATGTCCATTTTTGACCTCTTTATGGAAATGCTCTTTGCCTACTGTCCTAAAGTGACCCTGATGCCAAGTTGAAAAACAAGAGTGGCACCCTGTCAAACAGCGTGTCCCTCCCCGGATGTTGTGGTTCCTCTTGTTGCCCCCACCTCATTGCTCTGTCCAGTAGTGATGTAGTGGTCAGCAGAATTAACCACAGCACCCAGTGGTGGACCCACTATCTGAAACACCGAGATGTGTCTGATAGAAGCGGAACACTGAACTCTTCAAGAGATCGAAGATTGAGCACACCGCCCACTTCAGATGTTGTAAGCATAAACCTTCTTTTACAGGGGACTACTCTTTTAAGTTTTACAACCTAACAACAGGGATGCTTTAACATACTTTTCAAGTCACTGACCCCCAGGACAAGCATGTGGTCAGTAAAATCACAATAGTCATTGGCTTAAGCTGGCCATACACTAGTAAATTTCCTAACAAATGCTTGTACTAAAAATCTTTCTTTACCACCTGATAATGCCATCAGACACTTGACGAGTGTTGATTGAAATTTTGTTTAATTTGTTAACGTTCGATTTTGAAATGAATGGAGTTTCCCAAACAAAACCACATTCACTGTTGGAATTTTGTTCATTCAAGAAAAATTTTTCCATCCTGCTCTTATGGTTTTTTTTGTCGCTATGGTCGAAATTGATTCATCATAGTCATAATAGAATGTTGAGAGAAAGTTCTTTCATACAAAAGTTCTTTTGAAAAGTAGTATATCGCTAGCTCTGTTAAACATTTACTGTTACATATGTAAACTACCATTGCCATACTCCATCTGGCATGTTTGTTGTCTAGATGTTTTAGTGCTACTGTTTTCACTAACCTTTAAAAATAATGCAATCAGTGAATTCAGAACATTGATACGCTTTGAATCGACTAGATCAGCATGACAGCCAGGCAACTGGATTATTTTTGAAAATACCAGCAATGGCAGCCTAGGTATTTTTATTTTTTTTAGTATGCGTTTCTTTTATGGTTGTCAGTGTTTAATCAAGCTCTGTCATCCGCAAATGTCTTATTGAATTTCCAGTGATAGTACCATAAATATTCCCAGGATTTTTTGTGCAAAAAATCCTAAAAGGGAATGAAGAAAAATACAAATGTTCCTGACAAGTGAAAATGCTGCAAAAAAAAGGCAAAGTGAAATCAGCAGTTTTAATTAAGTAGGTTTCCAGCTTTTAAGTGAAAAAGCATTGTCCCATGGCCCCACTATTCTTGTTTTAACATCCCTCCCCATTCATTTAAAAAATTTCAAAACATTGTGACACAGGGCTATTCACAAAAGGGTGAAGAGTTTGGAGAAGGCAGGAGAAGTGAACAATCTAGGACAAAATAGCCGATTTGGAAAGATTCTCCAATTCAGCTCACTTTCCAGTTCAGCTATGTTGTCCTAGATCAGGGGCGGACTGGGCCGGGGGGCAGGGTTGCAATTGCCCCCCGGGCCTCTCTGTTGCCTCTAAAAACGGCCCCCGTCGGGCTGGCGCTAACACGCTACTTCAGCGGCCGAGGAGAACACCATGTTCGGCTGCCTTCCCGAATGGCCGTGTCACTGATCGGGCTCCTCGGCGGCCACGGCAGGTCCCTCCGCCCACTTCTGCTGCTATTGGCAGGGAGGGAGACTGCCCACCTACCATTGGCAGGCTGTGGAGTGCTGCGCAACTCGCCCCCTGGGCCAAAAGTTGCCAGTCAGCCCCTGTCCTAGATTGTTCACTTATCGTGCCTTCTCCAAACTCTTCACCCTTCTGTGAATAACCCTGTTAATTTATGCTTTGTTTCCAGAAAGATCATTTATTATCATGTAAATCCTAAATATATACATGTGATCCTTCTGTACAGATGTATGAAAAACACATACACAATTGAAGCAGTTAAACAGCTGAATAATTGTTTGTATCTTCAGGCCAACATCTATGTGGACCTTAAAGTGACACTAAACACAAGAATGAAATCTTAAAAATTCATTCAAACACCTTAAAGTATAATTAAACTCTCAGATTTGTTTTCATATATCTACTGCTAGCAAGCCGTAGATATATTCAAAAACAATAAAAACATTTTTTTTAAAGTTACCAAAAAGGTAATAACTTACCTTTGTCTCCACCGAAGATCAGGAGCTTCTCGAGCGTCCGTGCAGGATGATGGGGACAGGAGAAGAGGAGCGACACAGCGTAAGTCAATGCGCGCAACCGGGAGCGTGCACATCGGACAGACACCGTGGGGCACAGAAGTCACAGCAGTCAGAGCTGGATCAGAGACTGGCACCAGCGCTGGAGGGACATGTGTGGTGATAAGCTGTGTGTCTCCACAAACATACAGACACAGCAGGACAATTCAATCTCCTGCTCCATGCTCCCTTCTCCTCCGAGTATATTTTTAAAGGAAAATTAACATTTGTACTAGTCTTTAGTTTACCAATTGTAGGTGCATCTGAAGATAACAATTATGTGTAATCAATTTTGTGGCATCGAAAAAAACACTCAATTTTGAGGAATTTGGCATCGTTGCCTCCACCTATAAAACAATGTGGGCATCAGAAAATGGTTTCAATATATAGTAGAGCCCATTGTTTAATTACTTGCTTCCCTTTGTTGTGGGACACTAGCATCACCACAATAATAACATTTTACTTGGATTGCAGTCAGAGAATGTCCGATGGGCTCAGTCTGTAGCTTTGTATCGCAAGCAAGAGCAAACTTTGTTTGGAGATATCCTGCTCACAGCTGCCTTCGTCTCATATGCTGGCTCCTTCTCCAAAAAGTATCGCCATGAACTTGTGGAGCATTTGTGGATACCGTTCTTAAGATGCCAGAAGGTAACCATCAAATGTTAAGAAAAAAATTTATATTGGTGACAGCATTTATTATTGAATGATAATAATCATTGTCTGTGTATCTTAATTAGTTTTGTTGTATATTTTTTGCTTACTATAGTTCCCAATTACAATGACGGAAGGACTTGACCCAATATGTATGCTGGCAGATGATGCAACAATTGCAGAATGGAACAATGAAGGACTGCCTAGTGATACTATGTCTATTCAAAATGGCACAATACTATCAAACTGTGAACGGTGGCCTTTGATGATAGACCCCCAACTACAAGGGATTAAATGGATTAAAAGCAGATACGGTTCCAGGTTAAAAGTTATTCACTTGGGACAGAAGGGGTAAGAGAATGTGATAATAATCTTCAAAGAATACAATTTCTACTTTAGAAAATCTGTCCATTCAATGTAATACAGTAATGATTTCAGTATTTATTTTATATGTTTTAAAAATTTGTATGTGTTGAATATGACTCTTACTGAGAATACTGAAAATAGCATTAATTATTATGGCTAAATCTTTTTGAAACCGCTGCATCCTGGGTGAGTTTTTGCCATAATGATCAGGTACGCACACCATACCTGCACATTATGGCACACTTAGCTTACAAGTGTGCCCTTCTTCGGCACTGTGCTATGCATCTTCAGTCCCCTGCTCAGTCCTCTACTGCCACCATCTCCACTTCCGGGTTTCCAGGTATCCTCTTCGGCCATTGGGTGGCTACTGAGGATGTAATGCCTGCACATTTGCACAGGGGTCACATCCTTCCTGGCATCAGACCCATTCATGGCATCTCTAAGATGAGAGTGTACACTGCACATTTTACAGTGTACACTGCACATTTTACAGTGCACACTGAGAATGCAAAATTGCTAGGGGAGAGAGGAATACGTTTTTTTGGCAGAAAAAACTTTGCACGTCTCTTCTGCCAAAAATCCTGACCTCCCATTTTTTTTTTTCATTTCCACTTTTCATTATTTGAATATTTCATATTGAGCATTGTAAAATTCCCATGGACATTTTTAATCATTTTAATCTTTACTTGTAAATACAAGCCTGCAAAGTACAATGCCTTATGTCCAGCAAGCGTTTATATAAGAGCTACAACTACAAATTTCACTTCTGTGTGGGAGTGCTGAATATATGTATCTTAATGGGAGGGCTAACTGTAGCTTTAAACATGCATTTAGCAGGCTTCGGTAGTCATTTAGCAAAGTTCACTAGCAGAG